GCCCAGCTGCACGAAGAGAAAGAGGCTGAGCTCATTGAGCTACGGCCTCTGCGCACCAAGGTCGTTGCCCTAGAGCAGGCGCTCAACGAAGCCAAGAACGAGACTTCGCTAGTTCAGGCTCAGAAGAAGACCCAGGGTGTAGACGACGAACGGCGCTGGAACGGGGAGCGTGACAGGTTGCGCAGAGAACATCGCACCAACGCCGATGCCCTGAAAGCGAAGCACAACAGTGAAATGACCACACTGAAGGCAAACATCAACACGGCTAACTGTCTGGGAGACCCAGACCTGCGAAACGCCCTGGTTCAGGCAGACCAAAAGTCCGCGGGACTGGAGAAGAAGCTGAAACTTGCCTCACAGCAGGTCTTGGGCATGTCGGCGAGGAACCCCGCGATCAACCCCCCGTCTACTTCCACTGTGGAGAGGGATCTCCGAGACCAGGTTCATAAATTGAACGTCAATGTGCAGACATTGAATAACAAAGTCATGCTCATCACCCAGGAGCGCGATGAGGCCATCAGCGCGACTACTGAAGCCAAGTCTAAGGGCGAGGCGGTGTACAGTCAGTTGCAAAATCTCCAGGCAGTAGGAAGCAACAACGGGACGCCAGCTGCAACGATCGTGCAGTATCAGGCGGACTTGACGCAGAAAGACCAGTCTATCAAGAAATTACACGACCAAAATGACAGCCAGGCGATTCTAATCAACCGATATCATCAAGAAGGCATCCAAGAGATCGACCGCCGTGATCAGAAGATACAGCAGCTTGAATCGGGCGCGACGCACAACAGTCAAACCATCACAGTTCTGCAACAGCGCATCGTCTCTCTCGAAAACGACGTCGCGGCTAAGGAGACCAAATGCCAAAACCTCGATACACGCATCCAGGCTCTGAGTCACGGTCAGCCCGCAATCATCGATGCAGCGTCTTCAACGCAGATTGGAGCGCTGAAGAAGGACAACGACTCATTAAAGAATGACAACGACTCATTGAAGAAGGAAGTCCAGGCCGAGAAAGAGAGATACACCCTCAAAGTCGTCGAGCTCAAGATCAAGATTGATGATCTAGAACGGGATGAGCAGAAGGCGAAAGATGAACTCAAGGAAGCCATCGATTCGCGAGGCAAGGTCATCGCCGCGAAGATCGCGGAGCACAAACGTGAGCGCCAGCAGGAGTTTGATGACTTGAAGAACTCGCAAGCAAGTTCGGAAATCAAGGCGTTGAAATATCGAATTGAGCAATACGAGGAAGAGAACAAGGGGCTGAGAGAGGATGTAAAAGAAGAGTGGAAGAAGATCCTGGTCAAGAGAGACAACGAGATGCTAGCATCTGCAAAGGAGCTGAGAACCGCCAAAAAGGAGAAGGAACAATCGCAGAAGCTGTGCCACAACTTCCGAGTAAGGTGGAACCTACTTTCGAAAAACAAGGCTTTCAAGGATGGGGTGCTCACATATGAGGAGGTCAAAGATGGTCTCTTCATGGGCAGTACTACAGAGGTCAAGGACCAGATGAAGAAGGTTCTTGACGATAACGAAGATCTTCAGGCTGAGAACACAAAATTGCGCGGCGACGTTGAGAGGTTGACCTGGTACCACAACGCGGAGTCGGTGGAGGCCGAGATGGAAATAGCTGAGGCTTATGCCTCTGATGACGAGTGAGGTGGTCATAGGTTCTTGGCCCGCGGGAGGGAGCAAGAATATTGACCTTGAAGAAAGAGTTGGAGACTATACCAGTCAGTGCGGCACCGCTAATCTGGGTGTCGTCATTGATGGCGAGGTATAGGACGGATTCAGTACGATTGGCCTTCTGGAGTGACTAGAGGGGGTGTTGTGGCCTGTTGGATTCTGCTTTGAGTCTGGGCTTCATGTTCGGGCGCTGTCTAAGGACCTCCTGGGTTGTTCGTGGGGTAGGTGTCTTGGTGTTCCGGTGCTGCGGATACCTCCTCACGTGGTCATACTTTGGTTGCAACAAATACATTCCTCAAAACATAACTTTCTTCTACATGCATACCGTGATCTATCCCAAGCCCCTCCAGCTCATCTTCCTTAGCTGAGCCCCATAGAACCATAGTCCCACAGGCCCTACTAACCCCACTGCCAAAGTCAAGAATGCTAACAAGCTGTTTCCCCATCCCAACCCCAATGTCTCGTACATCTTGGGCGCGAAAAGCGGAAAGCTGAAGCCGCACATAGTTCTCATGAACGCTCCTACGCTCGCTGCAGAGGCGGCGTAATTGGCTTCGTACGCGTCGGTTGTGTAGGCTTGAGAGCATTGAAACCCGATTATAAGGCCGATTGCTATAATGACGGCACCGATATTGGGGACGATGAAGTGAACGGCGTTGTGTGCGCTGTGTACGATTAGTATAATGATAGTGAGAGGTGTGGAGTAGACTGACCTCCAACCATAGATAAAAAGACCAATGGGGCAGAGGATGCCTGCTATGATCATAGGCGGAACACGGAACTCCGGAACCCCTTCTGTGAGCTTGTAGTAAGCCTTCATCCGTTCATACAGCTAGTCTTAAGTCAGCGCTGTACATCAAGATCAGGAAGGTGAGCGTAATAGACGTACCCGATCGATAAGCGGATGCGAGATCTGCAAGCCGATCATGAAGCCCACGCAAAGCGACAAGTAATTGAGCGACGCAGGCCCCGTATCCATATCATACACCTCCTCAAACACCATCGGGAACGTCGAAAGCATCAAGTACATGACACCGTACAGAAAGGCGCGATAGATCGAGGGTGCCTGGGTCGCGGGATGGGTGAACATCATGATGAACGGTAGGATTAACCTCTTCCTCAGTATCTTGCTCATGCGATCTCCTGTTTCAAACTCAGTCCGCACAACCACATCGTTCCGGATACCCTTCATGGCTTTCCTGACAGCTTTTGCTTTTTTGCCGAGGATGGCGGGTGCAAACGTCTCACGTAGGAAGAAGAGTGCAGTGAGCTGAACGAGGACGGTGAAGATGGATGTAGCGAAGAAGATCCAGCGCCAATTCGCGCCTGTGGATATATATGCGCCCACGATTGGTGCCACGCAGGGTGCCAGCCATGTCAGGATGCCGTATATGGCCTGGCCTTTTCCACGTTCTTCTTTTGACCAGGTGTCAGCAAGGACGCCGTTACACAACTATCTTCCGTCAGTCATGTATATCAATGATGTGAGACTTGCAATGAATGTGCAACGGTTCGACGTACAGCTTGGGGTGCAGCTCCGCCTAAACCGCTAAGAAACCGAAAAGCAAGCATCTGCTCCTTGGTCTGCGCAAACCCGCAGCAAGTGTTGAAAAGCAGGTACACTAGATTGGCATACTGTAAGACCGTAACGCGCCCGAAGATCTCGCTTAGTGGCGCAAGTACAAATGGCCCTTGAGCGTAGCCAAGAAGGAATATGGTCATGACCAGTTGGTGCATAAAGCCTTCCGATATATCAAAGTCATCCCCAATGTCCGGCAACACAGGTGTTACCATAGTCGACGAGAATGGCGATATGAACGTGAACAGCGACACAAGTATGGTAGCTACCCATTTGCGTTTGCTGTTCCAGTTGAGAGGGTTGCTAGGGTCGTTCGGGCCGTCCCAGGTGATCTACACGTCACGTCAGTGGCAGTGCCATGAGACACCCAAGAGACCTACAATGATTTCTTCGCCTTTACGAAGGCCCTCCTCCATGTTCTCGCGGCCAGCCTCGTACCCTGACTCTTCTTGCTCCCACTGCAGGAACAGACGCTGCGTGCTAAGTAGCCAACGACCGTCCCCTTCGAACGAAAATCTCGGCAGTGCCAAGGAGTCGCGTGCGCTCCCGTCGTCTCGGGAAGATCGACCAAGTAACCTATCTTTGAAGTTCATGGTAAGTAACGAGCGTTGAGTTTGAACGAATGATAAATCCAAAGAGTGATGATAGCGACTGTGATGATGAGTGGTACCTTTTTTTGTTACAGGGGCAGATCGCCTGCATATAGTATCGAGACCTTCTTGCCAAATCTCACCAATTGAGGCAGTGTCAAAGAGGCGCTCACCAAGAGGAGGCTGTTCACCGTACCAAAAGCACTATACTGCCAAATGACCTCAAAGTACAGTATCACCGGTGTAGCGTGAATGCCATGGTCCAAGAAAGATGGCTTCGAGATGCCCAGCTTCAGGTTGATAAGGCTACGGTGAGACCCTTGTCGAGGGTCTAATCAAGAATAGAAAACTGTCGCGTGGGCGCACGGTAGCCACCACATCTCAGGTCCCCTATAGCCAATGACGAGGTTGCGGCTACTGCCACGAGATCGTAAGCTTTTTCCCGGTGGAGACTGATCAACGACAGCAGCCTTCTTTGTAGACGTCAGCTACCTGGCTGTGCTCGGTTCTTCTTGCCAAGCAGGTACAGCTTGGTTATTCGCTAGACCGCTTGGTGAAGCCTTGTGCAATCGCCGCGATTGGCCGAAATCGAGACCTCAAGAACAAAGTGGGTCAGTCAAGAACTTTGGGTATGCGGGATTAATACTAATCAAGATATCAAGAAAAGCCAACCATGACTTAGAGCTATACACTTGGTAGTACGAATGCTAGCAGGGCTGTGTTATAGTAGTCGTCATTTCCGGCTATGCCACGATACCATGAGCTAGGAAGTGCGGCATTCATGTTTCATGAATGTGTGTGTACTTGCAGCTTCAATGACGTTGATGCCGTGGTTTTGAGGCTGGAAGTAACACCTCAGGTGGCGTTTCCAAGTGATGCACCGGAAATAGCTCTACGGGCTATGTCGCATAGGTCTATCGCGAGAGCGTGCAACTCCAGACGAGCAGAGTCTGGGACCAAGATATAAGGACGTCGTAGGTCCATATGATGACGGTATCCAATCAGGCATATTGATTGACGCACGCTCGCTCTACATTACCACGTTCTCACGTTCGCTTTTCGATTTCGACATCATTCGATCAACATCCTGTCTCATTAGCATTATTCGTGATCATCTACTCAGCTTTACTCTCTTCGAATCAAACATGCTTGCCAGTGTGTCAGTGAGCAAGGAGCCATGTGCCCACACTGCTCCAGCCGCAACGACAGCACTCGCACCGCAGATCACGCGACTCCTTTCGTTGAAGACATTCGACTTGCCGCAACAGCAAGCAGACGACCTCACGCACTCGGCATCGGCGGTGCTACCCACTCCAACGTCAGACATTCTGGGCGGACATCCACTGAGGATCCTCGTGGCACCGTCAGGGTTTAAAGAGAGTCTGGGCCCAGAACACGTAGCTGATGCGATTGAGGAAGGCATCCGGAAGGTGCTCGATCGCAGTTCCGTTATCCTGCGCAAACTTCCTCTGCATGACGGTGGAGAAGGGTTTGCTCGTGCCTTGGTAGCGGCCCATGGCGGATCTATCGTCGACGTGCCAGTCACCGGCCCTACTGGATCGGCGGTCGAATCGCACCTTGGTTTTATTGGCAAGGACAAGAAGACGGCTGTTTTGGACATGGCGGCAGCGGCAGGCCTCCGCTTGGTCCCGAAAGATGAACGCGACCCAACGATCACCACTACTTATGGGGTGGGACAGCTTATCAAGAGAGCGCTTGATGCAGGGTCCACAAAGATCATCATTGGCTGTGGAGATTCGGGAACCTCAGACGGAGGAGCTGGAATGCTCCAGGCGCTCGGTGTCCGGTTACTTGATGAAGATGGCGAGGAGTTACCCAAGGCCGGCGGTGGTCGATCGTTAGCACGCCTAGCCAGCATTTGCTGGGCTGATGCGCATCCTCGACTACAAAAGAATGCTGGTAAGCCACCCACGTCTCACTTCGAACCCAGTTTTAACGTTGATTTAGTCGAGAAGGTCCAGATAGAGGCCGTATGCAACATCAAGAATGTGCTCTGTGGTTCCAAAGGAGTCGCGCGAGTGTATGGGCCGCAGAAGGGAGCTACGCCTGCTCAGGTCGAGATGCTCGCGACATCGCTTGAAAGGCTGGCGCAGGTTGCTCAGTCGACGCTTGGAGAGGACATCTCTCAGACCCCGGGTAGCGGTGCCAGTGGAGGTCTCGGAGCAGGTTTGATGTTGCTCGGCGCTACATTGCGTGCCCGCGCCGAAGCCATCAACGAGTACTTTGAATTCGACCGGGTTTTCGAGAATCAGTGGGATTTCGTGATTACGGCGGAGGGCGCTTTGGATTTCCAGTCACCAAACGGAAAGGTAGGTATCCTTTATCGTTGCTTCTCCATCAGAACGCTGACGAAGACAGATGACGACAGAGATTGCTCGTCGCGCAAAGCGGAACGGGGCGCAGGTGGTTGCACTAGCTGGTACCATCGGGGAAGGAGCAGACGGCTGTTATGGTGCAGGCATCAAAGCCTTCACGAGCATCCTCAGGGGGCCAGTAACCCTGGAACAGGCAATCGTCCAGACTGAGGTATTGGTCGAAGACGGCGCCGAGAAAGTGATGCGCATGATCATGGTAGGGTTGGCTCTTGGACGGCACCGCTGAAGGGGTGCACCGCCCTGAACAAGAGATTTGGGGCCTTGGTACAGCCGCGATGGCGCTGCCACCGGCATTAGGGCTCATAGATAGTTTACTAGATGTTTTTAGCAAGCAATAACGAATTAATGATGAACGAATGTTAATGATACCAAAGTGAGGAGGTTGGTAGGGGTAGCGTTCCATCTCCTTTCGGTTCCAAGGTTGGAAGCTGCTCTTCGCACTAGACTAGCGTGAACGTCATCGCTGCCCAGCACGTGCCTGGACAAGTTGGGGTGCAAGTATTGAAGGAACTCGGGTTGACACTTGTCAAAGATATACAGAATACACGTCTTCAACAGGCCATACTATGGCTACACGTTTGATAAATCTATCACTGTATCCAATCCGCAGGACTCTTCAGCCCCTTCTCCCTGTGCACCCCCTCGGTCTCCCTCGCCTTCACATTAACACTCTCCATCTCAAATCCTGCAACCTTCTTATACACCCTACCAATCTCCTCCAGCTCATCCTTAGGAATAACATCATACACATTCTTAAACCCATCGGGCGCCCTCTCCTCAGCCAGCTGCAAAACATGATCCGGCCCGTTCGCACGATTCGCCATGACAATCTTAGCGGTGGGCGGTAACCTCTCCTGCTCGTATGCCTTCAGCGCGGCTGCAATGTCAGAAGTGTTGCTGGAGAGATGTTTAGCGAGCGTTTCCGCGTCGATGATGGCTTGGGATGCGCCGTTTGAACCGATGGGGTACATGGCGTGTGCTGCGTCGCCCATGAGAGTAAGACGGCCGAAGGACCAGGCTTCTACAGGGTCGCGATCTGACATGGGGAATTCGAAGACTTTCTCTGTGTTGTCGATCAGATCCTTCATTTCAAGGCCGCCACATCTCCATGTCTCGAAGGGCCCTGCGAAAATGTCTTTCTTGACGGCTTTGGTCCAGTCGGTTTTGGGCGGTGTGAGGTCTGTGTCGTCCTTGTCGCGTGTGCGTAGCTCTGCAATCCAGTTGACTAAACTTTTGCCTTTGGCGGCTGCTCGTGCGCTGATGGGGTATGCGATGAACTTTTGATCGGCGTGACCTGCCCACACCATGCTCGCGCCTGTGAGGTACTGGTCGCGCTCGATGCACCCGCGCCAGAGCATGCGTCCTGAAAAGCGTGGTGGGCCTTCGCCGGGGTAAAGAAGCCTTCTTGCTGCGGAATTGATGCCATCGGCAGCGATCAAGATATCGCCTGTTACGCTTGACTCGTCTACTGGGGCACCATCCCTTCGATGCGCGAAGCGCGCTGTGATGCTTTCGTCATTTTGATCAAACGACGCCAGCGCATGGTTCAGATGTAGAGCATCGTTGCCAAGGCGTTCTTTCACAGCGCTCAGAAGCAACATCTGGAACTCTCCACGATGAATTGAGAATTGAGGCACTTCGTAACCTGCATTCATTCCTCTTGGCTCGCTCAGAATAGGATCTCCATGACGATTGTAGAAGTTCAGCTCTGCCGTTTTGATGCCAGTCTTTTCCAGGGCCTCGAGCAGACCCAGATTCCGCAGAATCAGAACTGCAGAAGGTTGAACGTTGATGCCGACGCCGAGTGTGGTGAGCGTTGATGCTGTCTCAAAGATCTGAACGTCGCTGAAGCCCGCGGCATGGAGTGCTAGCGCGGTGGTCAGTCCGCCGATACCGGCCCCTGCAATGAGGATCTTTGGTTGCGTGTCGGAGTACAAGAACGGCATGTTGGGAGAAGCGTTTTGAGGGTGACAAGATCAGTGAATACAGAATCTTTAAATGCATGCGTAATGAACTATTTTCACTAAGAAGTCGGTCCTATCCCGTGTCTTTGTGGAGGGATTACGTTAGAAGAGTCCCCTACCGTACTGCCGAATTCAGCTGCCGCGGCTTGAATAAGGCCGCAGGACAATATTCACCAGCATTGCTTGTCCCGTCATATTATCCGCCTCGTCAGTTTCTGGCTTTCGCGTGGTCTTCGTGTGGAGTGTGGGGAAAACCAAGGGTCTAATCTTCTAGTCGCCTATGTTCGGCCGAGATCGCTTCGTAGGTCGCTCTCGCGAGCCTTCATTAGGTTGGTAGTAGATATACCACAGGACGACTTGACTCTCTTTGCAAGAGATGATTCACGTAGAACAGTGAGTAAATGGGAAGTAGCTTGACGAAGACAAGAGAAAATGATTAGCAATTTTGTACTATCTAGACAACATGGCCGCCGCGAGACTTCCGTGGTCGACATGACTTTCGACTGATCTGACACCTTGGGCCACGATCCTCGTTCATCTCACTCAACTAGGGAGCGTAATCTGCATTGTCGTCCTTGTCGTACCTGACGTATTTGACCTTATCCATGCCATGCGTAGCACGAAGGTGGCCTGTGGAGAAACAAGAAATCAGCAAAACTCCAGTATATTTCAACGTCGACGGTACTTACAGTTCTCGGGGAATGAACAATATCCATGGTCGCGCTCAAGAGCACATTGATGACCCAGATCTGAAGCCGTAATGTTAGCATTACCGCAGATCCATGATACAACGAGGTTGAGAGTCATCGTCGCGTGAGGGCCTCTTCCACATGTGTACTTACAGCAGTCAATGTTCTCGCAGCCTTTGTTCTTGCAAGCCAAGCTACGCGTCTTGTAGCGCAAGGCATTCAGCTCAGCGGGTGTAAGCTTCGGCTCGTGTTGGAAATTGCAGAATTTGCCATTCTCGCAGTAGCCGCCAAGATGCCTGCACGGTATATTAGTCGGGTCTCAGTACCAACAGTGAAGCACTGGAAGTTGCTCGTCGTAGTCTCAGCACTCCAAAGTGGCAGCTTACCAATGATTACACATCTTCTTGCCAACTTTCTTCATGCGTGCTTCGAGCGAAGCTGCGGCAGCAGGATCTTTCGGAGGCAGTGGCTCATCCAATCTCTGACCAGCTTTGTTGTAATAAGCGTATTTCTTCTTAGTGTTTTTCTTAGTAGCGGCCGTAGTAGGTGCGATCGAAATGCTGCCATTTTCAGGAGCACCGGCTTTGCCAACGGTGGCTGGTCTCTTATTAGCAATGCTTCTGACGAAATCGATACTGGGTGCGTTTCTTACCCCAGGAAGAGTCGCCATTCGACTCGCCAGGCGCAGCAGCTGAGACCGGGGTTACACTGGGGGAGGGAGACGCAACGGAAGCTCTCGGAGTGAACGTAGGTGATGATGTGTTGGTGTTGTTCGTGACTGAACGTGGGAGTGGTTGTACTGCTGCCTGTACTGGCGACTGTACAGAAAATTGACCGAAGCCATTCACTGGAGGCTGGTAGTCAGGGAGGGGCTCGCTCTTGAAGACGTCGTCGAAACGAGCACGCTTGAAGTTGGCTAAATCCGCGAAGCCGCGGTAGGCAGGTGTGGTCTCCAGAAGTGTGATGCGACTGGATTTGGCGGCATCGTGTTTGAAGTGTTCGAGGTTTAGTAGGTATCCTGCGTCGTGGCAACCACCGAAGACGATATGACGGCAGGTGGGATTGTCGCTAAAGGTACGAAGCATTTCTGCAGGTCATTATTAGCATCAGTCAGTTTGATTAGAAGAGACGCAATACCCTTAATCTTGTGATCGGCTCTTTCTTTTCCGTGACCGACGTCGATTATACTAAATAAGGGCTGATTGACGCTGAAGCGCTGCGCAAAAGCTCGTAGATCCTGAGGCGACCGAAGAAGGCCAACCGACGCCAACTTCTGTGCAAGCTTATCGAGACTTAGATAGACCTGGACCATAATGGGCCAGCTGCCTGAACTGTTGTACAACGAAGCAACATGGTCGCGAATTGCATGATACAGGAGGGAAGCAGCTTCTGAACCTCCATCAGCACCAGCGGCTTGGAGTAAAGCATCTTGAAACTGCATGTTCAAAATCAGCAATCACTTCTTTCGGCTGTATGCCCGTGTCGCCATATCCTGTACATGTTGCCAACCATATGTGGGCCGGGATCGATATAAAGTCGCCACAGGACAATAATGAACTTCAGGGACTCGCAAAGACTTACGATAGCTCCATCCCCATCAATTAGTGCCAACACAAATGAACTTGCTTCCTGTAGCCAAAGTCAGCACGCGAATTGGCAAGGCTGACATAACAGCGGGTAACGCACCAGCTGACGTGTGTAATCTCCCACCAAAGCCTGCTTCTCATCCACAGTCCTCTGATAATTCCTCCTGATATCTCTTTCACTCAAATAGTCATTCTTCAAGTTGGCGTGCTCTTCGGACAATTCGCGATACTTTGCTAGAATTTCCTATTGATTGATTAGTGTTTGTCGCGCGGCCGCACACGCGACTCAGCGACACGTACTGTAACAAACTGCTCTCTGGCCTCATCAGACGCGCGAAATGATTGCATCTGATGAATGAGTCGATCGTATTCATTGTAGCTCGACATAGTGGCGAAATTGTTATGGCGAACAACAGATTGTCCAACCGTGGTTCGGTGCGGGTAGGATGAGCTGAAGGCAGCACTCCTGGGTGATGAACTTAGCGGGCGTGGAAGAGGGTCCGGGCGGGAAGTCTAGACCTGAACGGTGTAGGGCGGCCGATCACGTCTCCAGGCTATTCCTCCTGGAAGTTGCGATCTAACGGGACTGAAACCGAGACACAGATTTGGATAAGCAGAGACGTGGCGCGCCTAGAATCTCCTCAAGATTTGTATCTGTGGTGTTGGTAGATTTGTAGCAAACGTTTCGTTCCTCGCAACATGGCGCAGCTCTCTTCGTGCATGAGAGCTGCTGCGGTGGGCCATTGGGGGTACAGGCGAGCGTATCGCCTTCTGCCCCCTTCTGTAACACGAAACATTATTGACAGCACACAGCCCGATGGCATGATAATGGGAGATTGTTATGGAGCTCGTAGAACCATTACTGGTGCCCTCATTAATTATCAGGTAGCATTCTGTCAGCGAATACAGCAGCGAGATAGGCAATATGACCGTTTCCAACAATCGGTATCGCACAACAAATGAGTACGGTCCATGAGCCGAAACTGT